AGCCTCTGAATTATAAAACAAGTTAACTATTTCCAAGGTACAATGATTATACAGGCAACAGGTAAGCATTCCCAGCCAACAGAAGAAAAACTGTTAGAAAGAAAAACAAAACACCGATGGGATTCACAGGATACATGAACCTCCAAAACCCAGCAGGCCAGTCATTTAATCCTACAGCTCCAAAATCATCCTTTTGGAATCCTTGTCCCACATCCATGGCAGAGGGGTGTGAGGGCTGGGCTCCCAAGGCTTTGGGCAGATCTCCACCTGTGGGTTTGCAGTGATCAGCTCCTGTGGCTGCCCTCATGGACAGGGCTGGTGTTGAGTGCCTGTAGCTTTTCCACACTGAGGGGGCAAGCTGTTGGTGGGTCTATGAATCTGGGATTTGAAGGATGTTGCCTCCCTGTGTGAGGGCTTCAACTTGATATATCCCTTCTTTCCTGCCCTAGTAAAGGTTTCCCATGAGGCTCTGCGTCTTGGAAAGGCTTCTCCCTGGACACCCAGGCTTTTCTGTACATCCTCTGGACTATAGACGGAGGCTCCCAAGCCTCTAGTCTCTTGCTCTGTGCACCTCCTGGCTTAACACTATGTGGAAGCCATCAAGGCTTGGAGCCACCGCTGAAGTAGTGACCCAAGCTGTACCTGTGTATCTATCTTTCAGCCATGGCTGGAGCTGGAGCTGCAGGGATGCAGGCAGCAGTGTCCTGAGGATGCACACAGCAGCGAGGCCATGGAGCTGGCCCAGGAAACCATTCTCTCCTAGGCCCCAGGGCCTGTGACAGCAAGGGCTGTTGCAAAGGTCTCTGAAATGCCATCAAGGCCTTTTCCCCATAGTCTTGGCTATTTGCACTCAGCTCTTTTTTATGCAAATACTCTTAAGTGTTCTTGAATTTTTCCCCCTGAAAATCAGCTTCTCTTTGTGACCACTTGGCTAGGCTGCAAATTCTTCAAATTTTTGAGCTCCACTTCCCATTTAAATAGAAGTTGCAACTTGAGGTCATTTCTTAGGTTGCACATAAGAATACAGGCTGTTGAACGAAGAGGACACCTCTTGAGCTATGCTGCCAAGATGTTCATTCCACCAGATACATCCTAAATCATCACCCCCATGTTTATAGTTTCACACATCTCCAGGGCTAAGGCCAATCAAATGTAACCTTGGCTCCTGTTCACAGGAAATTCCTCATTTTCATCTGAGACCTTTTAAGTCCGGCCTTCGCTGTCCATCCTTCTGTCAGCCTTCTCATCACAAGTATTTAACAATTCTTTTCAGTGGTCCAAACTTTTCCTCATCTTGCTGTCTTCTATGCGTTCCCAACTCTCCCGACCTCTGTCTTTTACCTACTTCTGAACCTGCTTCTACATTCTCAGTTATCTTTGTCACAGCCTGGTAATGTGGTAAAAGAAGAAAAGTCCATTTTCAGGGGAAAATTCACGAAGGCTTTCAGATATTTTCATGAAAAGAACGTGGGTGCTGGTTGCCAAGACAGTGGGGAAAAGGCCTTGAAGGCATTTCATAGCTCCACTTCACAGCACTAATTTTGTGTATAATCATAAAGAAAAGAGGTTTAATTGGCTCACGGTTCTGCAGGCTGTAAAGGAAGCATAGTGGCTTCTGCTTCTAGGACTCAGGAAGCCTCCCAATCATACCAGAAGGCCAAGGGGCACCGAGATGCTTCATATGGCAGGAGTAGGGGCATGACTGAGAAAAGAGGTGCCACACCCTATTATACAACCAGATCTCATGAGAACTCCATATCACAAGGTCAGCATCAAGAAGATGGTGCGTAACCACTGGTGAAGGATCTGCCCCTCTATCCCCACCTCCACCTCCACTTCCCACTGTCTCCAGGCAGAAGCCTGCTGCACAGGCAGAGCCAGATTCATAGACCCAACAACAGCTTGCACCCTCAGTGTGGAAAAGCTGCAGGCACTCAACAGTAGCCCAGGCCATAAGAGCAGCCACGGGGGCTAAAACTTGCAAAGCCACAGGTGCACTGTCCTAGTAGAGGTTGTCCATGAGGCTGTGCCTCTGCAGCAGGCGACTCCCTACTCCCACTACACCCCACCCTTCCACCACCCTACAGCCAGCCTACTCCTCCTCACCCTACCCACCCCTTTTTCCTTCCACCCGACCTGCCTCCCATCCATGATTAAATCACTCCCGCCAGGCCCTCTTCCTTCTGTCATTCTCCAATCCCTCCAAACCCTCTCAGTCTTTGTTTGTTACCCACTTGGAACCTGCTTCTACTTTTTCAGGTATCTCTAGAGTGGGGTTGGTTATGTAGTAATAACACAAAACCTGATATAAGGGGGGAAAATTCAAGACTTCAGAAACTTGCATATACAAAAGCCCTGTGCAAATTAGCCAAGACAAATGGAAAAAGGCCTTCAAGACATTTCACAGCTCCTCTCTGCAGTTCTAATTTTCTGTATTATCGTAAATAAAAGAGGTTTAACTGACTCGGGATTCTGCAGGCTGTGAAGGAAGCATAGTGTCTTTTGTTTCAGGGAGGAGTCAGGAAGCCTCCTAATTATACCAGAAGGCCAAGGAACAATGAGCTGTCTCCCATGGCAGAAGTAGGAGCAAGAGGTTCCACAGCCTGTTAAACAACCAGATCACATGAGAACTCACTATCAGGACAGCATCAAGGGGATGGTCCTGTATCATTCGTGAAGGATCTACCCACACCATTTTAGGACTAACTCTTTTTCCACCTAGGCCCCACCTCTAACATTAGGGAGTATAATTCCACATGAGTTTTGAAAGGGACATAGAGACAAACCATATTATTCTGTCCCTGACCCTACGAACTTCATGTCCTTCTCACATTGCAAAATACAATCATGCCTTGCCAGCATGAGTCTTAACTCATTTCAGCATTAACTCAAAGTTACAAAGTCCAAAGTCTCATCTAAGTTAAGGCTCCAGTCTCTTTTTCCCTATGAGTCTCTGAAATAAAAAGCAAGTTCACTGCTTCTAAGGTACAATGATGGTACAGGCATTGTGTAAGCTTTCCATATCCAAAAGGAAGACATTTCCCAGAAAGCTTCTTATTTCTATCTGAGGCCTCCTCAGCCTGGCCTTCACGGTCCATGTTTCTGTCAGGATTTTTGTCACAACCATTTAACCAGTCTCTAAGATGGTCCAAACATTTTCTCATCTATCTGTCTTCTTTTGAGCCCTCCAAACTCTTAAAATGTCTGTCCATTACCTAGTTCCAAAGCTGCTTCCACATTTTCAGGTATCTTTATAGCAATGCTCCAGTCCTTATTTGCCATTTTCTGTATGATTCGTTTTGAAAAACAGGTTTAATTGGCTTATGGCTCTGCAGGGTGGACAGGAAGCACACTGGCTTCTGCTTCTGGGAGGCCTCAGAAACCTTTCAATTTTCGTGCAAGGTGAAGAAAGAGAATTGTCTCACATGGCAAGAGGAAAACATGCAGAGTAGGGAGGTGACATAGAGTTTTCAATGACCAGGTCTCATGAGAAGTCACTCATGATTGTGAGGACAGTAGCAAGAGGATGGTGCTAAACCATTCATGAGAAATTTGCCTTCAGGATTCAATCACCTTAGACCAGGATCTACCTTCAACATTAGGAAATATAATTCAACATGAGATTTGGTGGGGACATATATTCGAATTGCATCATCAGTCTTTGAGTATAAAGACATCCACATCAGGCTTTATACAGCCAGCTTCTTTGAGACTCTTCACACGGTTTGAAGTCTACAGCATATATACTAAAATATTCATACTTTAAAAAGCAATAAAGTAAGTGGTATCTTTCTTCCAAAAGTTACACTGGTAGTGTAGGCAATCATAGCATGATTTAGTTCATCTTTGCTACTCTTTCTATTCTATCACCATATTAACTGTTTCCTACACAATTCTATATTCAGCTGAGTTTCAACTGAGAACAAAAGCATCCTTGTCCCACCACCAACAGCTGGCATTAGCTCTTTTTTAGTGTTATTATTCTGCTGTAGAAAGTATCCTTGAACTGGAAACAGTCCACAAAGGAGTATCTAGTCATTTAACACTATCAATTCCTGGGTGACTTTTTGAAAAAATAGTATCTCTTGTTGCAAGAAATGCTGCATCTGTGAGTCCATGTTTCTCACTCAAATTGGATGAAAGTGGTGAATTTCAGCCACAGTGTCCCAAGAAATCCTGTTCCTGTGATTCTGATGTCATCGGCCTCTGCACCTCTGTCTTCCCTTCTGCCCCACATTGCCTGCTTTTCGTGACATTGGTAAAAGCTTCCTTGTGTATGTGGATGATGTCTAGGATGTTGGCCTGGTGTCCCTGAGACAGCCCTAACAGGTCCATGACTGGGTCCAGGTCCTGCCTGGGTTGACTGGCAAAGAGCTCACTGATGGTGTTGAAGGCATCTCTGGTGAAATGATGGCCTGTTCCAGCTCCAAGACCTGGCCGAGGCTGAAGAACTGGCTGCCTTCTGATGCTCTTTCTTAAAGCCTGTCCCCGTCATCTGCTTGCATGTCAACTCACTGGCTGTGAAGTTGAGCTGAGCGTCCTGCTGTCCATCTTCTTGGTGAATCACTCGAAGCTGTCAATCTTGGTCTCCCACTCCTAAAGGTTGAGGGTCATCCTGGGGGTGGGCTCAGGGTCAGGAAGAAGCTGGAATTCACCATCTCATCCTTCTCAGCCTACCTCTTGCCCTGTCTCCAGGCTCTTCAGTGCTGGTGGGGCACATCAGGAAGTGATGGAAGATGTGGCACTGTGCCCGCACCCAGAAGCTGGCCGTGCGGTTCATCCACTAGATTGGGCCCTTTCTGTACTTGAGCAGAGTCCTCTTCAAGATGGCCTGTGGTCTGCCTTTTGGCACCCAAGAAGCCCACAGTGCTGTAGGAGCCCTGAAGCATGGACTGGGGCCCCAAGGGCAGCACTCACCCTGCTCCTGAGCCTGCTGCTCATTTTCTCTATGTGGCTCCATTTGTAGCACAGTTGTTGCACTGAGGCCTGTGCATGCCAGGCAAGGCCAAACTGGCTCAAAGAGCAACCAGCCACCTCTGCAAGGGTGTGCCAGGAGCAGGTGGACCAGCCACCAACCTCACTCGCTGCCCTCAGGGTAAATCAGTAATTCTGCCCTGGAGGTAGGGCCCCAGTGCCATCTGCTTTTCCTCAGGCCTCTGCTCCATCAGCCATCAGATGGCAGCTACTCAGGCTGCGGGACCTGGCCACCCCTGCTTCCTTGAGTGGGTGAGGCTGGTGGCTGGTCTACCTGCTCCAGGCACACCCTTGCAGAGGTGGCTGGTTGCTCTTTGAGTCAGCTTGGCCTTGCCTGGCATGCACAGGCCCTGGGTATTAACAAGCTGCGCTGAGTGAGCTTGTCCTGTCTTGTGCCAAATTCTAAGTCTGGCCAGGGCCACAGAAGGCTGAGTCCCCTGGGTGGTAATCCTGGCTGCTGTTGGAGGGCCCACAGTGCCTCTCCCCTCCCAGGGCCCAGGATGAGGCCCGACTGGGTCAAGACCCTTTAGATATGGATCTTGTTCCCCAGGAGGGGGCCTCTGTCCCACAGGTTGGGTGAGAAGATGTATGGCATGCTGCTGGCTGCTAGGGTTGTTGGGAGGCCACGTTTACCCTTTCCTCCAGGGACATCAAAGTTTCCAGCTTCCCCTTGGAGAATGACTTCCCAAGGCCCAGGTGCCATCTGGGGTTGCAGGGCAGCTGTCCGCATGCTGCCCTGGCTTCTTCCATGTTGTGCTCATCACTATCCACCAAGGGGGGTCAGATGCAGGCACCATGCAGGGCAGTTGTCTCTGGACCTGCGTCTTGGTTATCATGGAGCCACATTGGGCCTGGTGACAGGGCCCTGATGGGGTTGTCCTGGGGTTGTCCAGAGGAGATGCAGAATGGAATTGCTGTGAGGATGAATGAGATGACTCTCAGCACAGAACAGGCACCTGGTGAATGCTCAGGGATTACCCTCAGTAGCTGCCCAGAGGCCAAAACCACCCACCTGATAGTGACTGTCCCCAAGCCAGGAGGAAGAGAAGAGAGCAGGTCCCACTCACCTGAGTCTGATCAGTCAGCTGTGCTGAGATGTGCCTCTCACCTAGAAAACAGTCCTTCACGCAGAGCCACCCACAGACACTGCTGTGTGTCTCTTACTGCTCCACAACACAGAGGTGATGGGGACTCAGCAATAGCGACATTGTGGGATGACACAATCCACCACAACGGGAGCCTGCTTGGGTCAAGAGTGCTCAGAGTCAGTGTCCTCTATCCCCTGAACTGACATGTGTGCATGCATTGTGTTTGTGCATGCGTGTGTGTGTGTGTGTGTACATATGGGTGTGTGTGTTTGTCTTGCTTCTCTGGCCAGGCCTAGCTGCTCCACTCACAGGAGCACCCGCGTCCTCATCACTGTCACTACCAGGGCCCAGGGCCAGGATTAGAGCCTCCACAGGTGCTCCCCAAACTCTACCCTCCCCACTGAGGGTTGTCCTGGGGATGCAGACAGAGGAAGGGCACCGGGCAGAGCAGAGAGGGCTGGCACCCTCTCTAGGTGGAACACAGGTCCTGTGTAAAGTTGTAGGTCTGTCTGTATTCAACACATCTTCTCTCATTCTCTTTCCAGCAACCCTCCAGGGTGTCCTAACTCAGCTTCCCTACAGATGGAGGCAAGAAGGCTCCACAGACAAACCCCCTGCCTGAGGTCACACAACGGCCAACTGGCCAGGTTCCTACTGACCAGGTGCCCCCAACCAGGTCCCCACTGATGAGGCCCCTAATGACCACTTCTCCATTGACCAGGTCCCACTGACCAAGTCCCCACTGACCATGTCTCCCTAACCAGGCCCCCACTAATAGGCCTCATGGACCAGACCCCACTGACCAATTTCCCACTGACCTGGTCCCCACTGCCCAGGTTCCCACTGACAAGACCACAATTTACCAGGTTGCCGCTCACCCCAACCCCACTGAACAGTTCTCCATGGATCAGTGCCCAGCTGACCAAGCCCTCTCTGACCAGGCCCTCACTGACCAGGCTCCAAGCCACTAAGGCCCCACACTGACCAGGCCCCTAATATACTGAGTTGACCCCACCAACCAGTTTTTTATAGTTTATGTTTCAACCGATCAGGCCCCACTAATAAGGCCACCACTGACCAGGTCTCTACTGGCTAGGCTTCCAATGACTAGGTCACCAGGTCCCCACTGGTGAGGCCTTCACTGAGGAGGCCACTGCTAACCAGGTCCCTGCTGATCAGGTCCCAACTGACCAGGTCCTGATGACCAGGTCATCTCTGACCATGGTCCACTGATGAGGCCCCTGAGCAGTGGTGCTCAAAGTTTCATTACAATGCCCCCATCAGCCCACAGACCCTCCCTCCCTGCATGTGTGCCCAGAGGTCAGGCCTTGGGGGTTTTCTTGGGCCCCAAGGCCTCTCCTCCAAGACACAGGGAGGGACAGTCAGCCTCAGGCTCCAGGTAGCCAGCTTCACACTCATCCCCCAAGGCCCGCAGGGTTCATCTCAAAGGAGACAGTGAGGTGGCCTGGCACAGCCTGGAAACCCCATCTACCTTACTCCTGAGTGTCAGAGTGGGAAGAAGGAAGGGACATTTGGCAGGCAAGACACCCTGTTCTTCTGGGTCTCCCAGGCCCTTCCCGCAGAGCCCCGATCTAGAGACACGGCACAGAGGTTGCAGAGAGACTAATCCAGAACCCTTGAGGCTGAGCCAGAGACCACATGAGGATTGTCCCCGGACAGCTAGAAGGCCCTTCGCTAGTTTCTTGGTACCTCAGTGGATGCAGCAGTGGTTCTTCTGTTGGGGACTAGTAAGTGTGTGCTGGGGAGCGCTCACCTGTGTTTCCTCGGTGGCTCCAACTCTGCTTCTAAGAAAAATCACTCATTCCGGCCCTGGGGCAGAGAAAATACAAGATTAGCTTAGAACATTTTATGCCAGAAAGTTAAAAAGTGCTGACAGAGTAACAGGGACAAATCAAAAAGACACAAAGTCAGCTTGAAATGTCTACTACTGACCTAATCTTGGGGAATTGGAGCACAAGAATCATAAGCTTTCCCTTCTCCTTTATTTATTGTTTTTGTTTGTTTGTTTTTGAGATGGAGTCTCGCTCTGTTGCCCAGGCTGGAGTGCAGTGGCACAATCTCGGCTCACTGCAAGCTCCACCTCCCAGGTTCACGCCATTCTCCTGCCTCAGCCTCCCGAGTAGCTGGGACTACAGGCATCCGCCACCATGCCTGGCTAATTTTTGTATTTTTAGTAGAGACGGGGTTTCACTTTGTTAGCCAGGATGGTCTCGATCTCCTGGCCTCGTGATCTGCCTGGCTTGGCCTCCCAAAGGGCTGGGATCACAGTTGTGAGCCACTGCACCCGCTCTTATTTATTGGTGTTATTTCTCCATGTAGAACAAAGAAGAGAACAAGAAAATCATCTGGCAACCATCATAGTAATGCTTGTTCAAACACAAGTCACCCACGAAATGCTAAATCTAATGGGTTTTGAGGAGTAACCAGATATTTACAGAGCCTCAAAGTATTTCCACACAAAATATGGTTGAACTACACATTGAAAATCATAACATTAGTATGGACAAACCTGGCAGGTACTCTTTAAGTCTCCTACTATATAGAGTAATAAAACCTGTAAAATGCAAATAAGCCTTTGATGACCTTTACTAAAGTATCAACGATGACTTGGTTGTTTGGCTGTTTAAACAGCTGACATTTGGGCAATTTGAGTATGCCCAACCCAATAATACTGGTGTTCATTTGCAAGATCCACTTAAAACTTAAGAAGGCTAAAAAATGTCATTTAAAATACCATATAAATTTTCAACATACATATGACACAGAAATATTCTAGTACATGAAAAATTTAGTAAAGATTGTGATGTTATATATTTTATGAGAAACAATTAAAATTTCATGTAAATAGCCCAGTAATAAAGTTTTATTATCTTTTAAATCATACAACTTTTCCTTAAGATTTTCTGGTTAAATATTCTCTTCATTAGATGTGGCTTACCAGTGGATTCTAGAGAAGAAAGTAGATGGGAGCAAGTGCCCAACACAGCAAAAGCTGGAAAGAAAAAGAAAGAATTATGTTCTTTACCTAATACATTTCCGTTAACTAAGTGTGAGTTTAAAATGTAAAGAGTTGAGAACATTATCAGAGTTAATAAGAATGAGAAATATGTATGTACAATTACAATCCAAAATTACTATTAAATAATCTACACATAGCATAAATTTTAACTGTGGTTAAATATCACAGCTTTTTCATTCTTCATTCATGTACTCAACAGCCACGTTCTAAGGTACTGAAACTAGCACTGGAATTACAAGATGAAGATGGCATGGTCCACCTCTCAACAGTCATATGCTATAACCTAAAAAACAGACAGGCAGGCAATGTCCATATAGTCACAGATACCATGACAGGTATACAGCAGGGCACTACTGGAACACACAGAAGGGACACCTATCCCACTTTTGTGTCAATATCATGGGCTTTCTGGTGGAGGAGATCCATAGGTTGATGCCTAAAGGACAAGGAAAAGCTTGCCGGATAGAGGGAAAAGGCAAAGGCAAAGAGCCTGAGGTGACCAACAGCCCGGTGGAGTTCTACTCCATCCACTTTGGTGCTAGAGCAAAGGGCAGAGTGCGGTAAGTGGTGAGAGACAAGGCTGAGTAACTTGACAAGAATTACATTGACATGGGTGTTTTTATTTCATGGTGAAAATTTTGGAACTTTTCTTGAGAACAGATGTAAGTCAATGACACAGTAAATGACAGGAGATTTAAAATATCACCTGTCAAGCGACTGCTTATGAAGGGTTATTGCTCAGTTAAGTATTTCTAAATGAGTCTGAGGTCTGTTGGCCTTCAATCTCCACCAAAACCCTGAGAACTTGATAATGCCTTTGTTTTCGGAGAATCCTTTCAGTGTGCTGGCTGACAGTTCCATGAGGATGGCAAAAGTGAAGAAATTGTAGAGTCAGTGAAAAAGAGATGGCTACACTTCTCGGGAATTTTTTAAGCTATGGAACATGATGAATTAATGGTGCATAAGTATACTCTTCACTGTGAAAGTTTTTGTTTTCACATCTTTCATTAGATGTGTGTAAGAAAAAGATACTGAACATAGTATCTACTAACCCACAATGAAAAGGAATGCCATCTGCTATTTATACTTTATTACTAAAATAAACCTAAATTTAATAAATAAATTTTGGCAACATACTTTTCTTTGTTTCTCTAATTATTTGTTCTACACAGTCCGGCTCCACCTAAAATAAGTAAAAAAAAAAAATGTTTAAATTAAACAAGAGACAGTATCATGAGAATAATAAATCACTTACAAAATGTGGCCTTTAGTATTTTTAGTGAGTAGACATAACATGAAGTTTGCTTAAATAGAAAAATAATCACATAATAAAGTAAAATTTCTACTTAAGTTTAGATAATAGGGGATGTATCTGTGTAATGCTGTTTAGAGTAATCTGACAAAAATAGATAACATTGGTCTGTTGGATATACATAATTTTAGAAAGGTGGTGTTTATTAGTACAAAGGTTAAACAATGGCAGGGCATGACAGCTCATGCCTGTAATCCCAGCACTTTGGGAGACAAAGGTGGGCAGATCACAAGGTCAAGAGATCAAGACCCATCCTGGCCAACATGGTGAAACCCTATTTCTACTAAAAATACAAAAATTAGCTGGGCATGGTGGTACGTGCCTATAATCCCAGCTACTTGGGAGGCTGAGGCAGGAAAATCGATTTGAACCCAGGAGGCGGAGGTTGCAGTGAGCCGAGATCGTGCCACTGCACTCCAGCCTAGTGACAGAGCGAGACTCCATCTCAAAAAAGAAAGAAAAAAAAAAAGTTAAACAATTAAACTCATATTTTGCAATGAATGCATTGCTTTGAAATTCTTAGCAAAACTCTGTCCTTTATAAAAGTTCAATCCAATTTTTTACTTCAATAAATTTTTTCTTAAAAAGAAATTTATATTCTTTACTTATAGAAAAAAATTTTTATAGTAAATGTTTTTTGCTTTTTTTTTTTTTCTAGTTTGTATGCTAAATTAAAGTGGTACTGGTGTAAGTTTCTTCCAAAGGTATATTGAGGGATGCTGAGGTTTGGAGTACAATTGAACCCATCACACAGGTAGTGAGCATAGGACCCAAGAAGTAGTTTTTCAATCCTGGCCCACTCTGTCCCTCCCCGTTCTTATTTCCCAGTGTCTACTGTTCCCATGTTCACGCCAATGTGCACCTAATGTGTAGCTCCCACGTATGAGTGAAAACAAGATATTCGGTTTCTGTTTCTGCCTTAGTTTCCTCAGGATAGAGGATTCCAGCTGTATCCATGTTGCTGCAAAGGACATGACTTTGTTCTTTTCATGACTGCATAGTATTCCATGGTGTATATGGAATTTTCCAATCTACCTTGGATTTTCAATCACCCAATCCTTGGGTGCACCTGGATTGACTCCATGTCTTTCTATTGTGAACAGTGCTGCAATGAACATACAGGTGCATGCATCTTTTTGTTACAATGATTTATTTTCCTTCAGGTATACCCCTAGTATAGTAATGGGGTTGCTGCATGTGGGATTACACGTGCCTGCCACCACGCCTGGCTAATTTTTATAGTTTTAGTAGAGACAGGGTTTCAACATGTTGGCCAGGCTGGTCTCAAACTCCTGGTTTCAGGTGATCCATCTGCCTCGGCCTCCCAAAATGCTGGGATTACAGGCGTGAGCCACCGCACCTGGCCAACCACAAATCTTTTAACAGAAAAATGGAAATGACTCTTTCAGTGTCTTGTTTATTTAATTCATAAAATGCACTTATTTTGGATTCTATTAAATAATAAATATCTATGTGTGGTTAAGTGTTTGGTTGCCAGTCATTCACTTGTGATTATGGGTGGGAAGAGTTAAGATGGTGCAAAGAAACTTTAAAAGTGGTATGGGCTGGGCATGGTGG